GGCGAGGCAACGATCCCAACGGATGAAGGAACACTGCCCACGCTGGTTAAAACGAGGAACAGGAAGCGTAGGAAGCGCCATTCTTGGTCATCAAATTAGATCAGAATCCGCTTTCAGCGTAATCCATCGTGTGTCGTATTCAATTTTTACTTTTAAGCGACTAAGTGACTATGTGAGGACATGTCGCCACGTGAACAAAGGTAGAAATATGATGTAGTGACATCTAGGGCATAACCTAGTGGCTTTTGTTCAGGATGCACCCGTGGTCCTAGCGTAGCACTACCTGAAAGGATCGTTTCAGTGATCTTATTTGATTGATAACCGAATTTACGTATGTCAAAGTGTTTTCTATGGGTATTTTTCGCATGGAGATCATTTGCCAGTGAAAACCCCAACAGGTTGTTAAACATTGTTTCCAATTGCCAGTGATCGCTTATTTAGCGAAGCAATCCTCATACACTCATCACACAAACAGCAACCGATCTGTTATCGATAGCCTGGAGGCACGTCCGGTGCCGCGCAGCTCTGATTGGTCATCGTGAAGAAAGGAGTTTACACCGTAGAGGGTTCTCTATTTACCAAATACCAGTCTTATTCTAGGAAAAAGAGAGCTGGTCCAAAGCTCTAGAAAAAACATCAAATCGGAGGGAAAAGATCACGTGACGCAAAAGGGGGGAGGATAAAATCTTGGGACCGTTCCCAATTAACTTTGTTATCCTATTCGAAAGAAGACGCACACAAACGGTTAAACAGAACAGAAAATCTTCTAGTTTGTAGCAATTTTATTTTCAAATTGCATTCGTCTGTCATGGAATGGAGAATGGGATGTGAAAAATTGGGTCAACAGTTTCGAGATCTTTCAAGATTGAGAATTAAAAAAGAAAAACAGAACAAATACCAGATATGGTGTTCATGGGTCTGAAGCGACAGGCGTATCTGAAGTTTTTTGACGAACTGGAAAATCGTAGATAAATGATCGCAAGAAAAAAACAGAATCGAAATGGATAGGCGCAGTACAGAAAAAAGCCGAATGATACGTCAGTGAAAACAATAATTAAGAATAAAAATATCTAAAAAGTCATGTATAATCTTTGTCCATTGGATAAACAGATAGGTGTGGACATAAAATGTTCTCTGCCTTAAAGAGATTCATAAAAAAGGAATAGTGAAAGTAGAGAAACAGAAAACGTATTCAGTTAGAGATCGTGGTCCATTGGGTTGGTATTGAATTAGGCAATTAAAATAAAAGATTTCGGTGCGAAGATCTATCAAAAAACGATATGTATTGATAGTGAGAGATGGTTCTTAGCCACTCGATAAACGGATCACGGTTGGAATTTCTTTTCCATTGATTCAGAGTAGTCCGGCGGTTGTGATATATTGACCGAGGACAAATCAAACTTATGTTTATGTGTCCCATCAAGATCACATGAGTGACGGGGAAGGTGACCAGCTGGACGAAAAGTAGAATCAGGTGAGAGAGAGAATTGAGATCAGATCTGGGCGGTAGTTCGAACGGGAAAAGCTACATGTGACAAAATCGTAATTCATTGACTCAAATACGAAAATAAGAAACGCTGTCTCTGAATAAACCGTGTAATCCCATACCTTCTCACCTACAGTATATCTTTGGATTATGGGGTTTACCCCTTTTACAGTATTCACTTTCGTGTATTAAAAATAAGAAGAACGGCGCATGTAAAACCCTAACGTGATAACAACACACATGTGAGCATCCGAACGTTTCGGTACAATTCGGAGTGAGGTGTGAGTGTTCACTCATTAAATTGCATCGTGCCAAATCTCATTATACAACGAAACATCTCAAGTACTCTCTGATGATGAAGCCCCAATCAGTTGGGTTACGCAACGGAGGTGTTTCTCCACCAAAGTAGGAGGATAAAAAAGCTAACATCCGGGACGATAAGTTGGACAGGATACCAGTGGCACTTCATCTATAGGAGTTAGCCCTGATTCTAAACGAACCAAGAACTGTACGAACTAGTACCACACCTCTCCAGTTCCGGCAGTGGCCACTGACCTGATTGGGCATTTTGGGCGTTTGACCCGATGGGGATAAGACATCGATCCCCGAATAGATTGTGGTTTTCACACATCGTCTCACTATCTTGCCGGCTAAGCTTGAACTGGTCAGAATCTTCGATTTTTAATTGAACAATTCAGCCGTCTTTCCGTTGCATTTTTATCGTCTGCATTTGATTCCGTTTCTTGATCAAACCCTCTTTTCAAACTTGAATCTTTTAGAACATCAGGACCAACTGATGTAAGGAGTGCATCGAAAAATCGATGCGCCATGTACTGTTTTATTGCAAACGTTATAATGTTAATAACACAGCGACGTCGGTAGAGAATTGTATTCACCGACGTTTCGGTTACCGTGGGTAAGCGATATCACTGTGTTATCAACAGTATAACATTCACAATTGTATCTTTTAGCACTCTAAGACAGTTACTCTCATGGCTTCCCACTATTCCACAGAAACGGCCCGATGTACCAAATTGGGCAGGGGTACACCAAAAACTTTACATAATATTCTCGATGTGCTTCCAAGGCTGTTTTTATCTCAGACTCTCCTTTCAGGTGCGCCAACTCAGGCGATTTGGAACCTCACAGACTGTTTTGTTTTATTTCACTAACTCCACTCTATTGCTACAATATCACGATCATCATCACTATCATGATCATCGTACAGCGGAGTATAGTTAGTGAAACGAACTTCACTGATCGCTGTCAAACTTATACTGCTTACAAGATAGGTGAGAATGTGCAAGGAATATAGGGATAGGACCTACTTCGGGGAACGGGGAAAAGAGAGCGAACCTCTATGGTCAATACACAGAGTACACAGTCCGACTGTGTATTTACACTATTTCAAGCGTTGTGGTCTGATAATAAGTGATGACGAGACCGCCATTGCTGTCAGTTTGCTGCTATGACCTTACGTGTCTCCAACTATCGAGTTACAGAGTCTTTGAACTCAAACCCGAAAAACGAGAAACATCTATCCTCCCTGATCGCTCTGTGTATTTTTTCATACCTCGTCTCCACTTCATCTGCTGGCCTCCACGTGGGTTTTTCCAGTCTGTAGCGGTCAATGCAAATAAAGCGCGATGCGGTAAAAAAAAAGCTTTAATGTAGTGTTTCCCGGCCTTTGAAAACAAGACTTTAAAGTCGTAGTTTAGTGATAATCAGTCGCTCCTCTGCATCCTGACCTAATCTCTAGTCATTCCCATTGATCCGCACGCTCGGTTAAATATCTAAACTCTCGTATTAACGTTTATAGGAATTCGTCTGTACCATACCTAGCCCAACTCCTAACCACAAAGGAACAGATCAGTAGTGATCTACGTCAGAATTGGCGTACATGAAACAACTTCAGCGACATTATTCAAGTTGCATGTTATCCGGCTGTCAGTAGGCAGTCTGAAGGACCTCGAATGAGGACAATGCAAATTTTGCTTTATATTCCAATTTCGTGCCATGTGCAGGTACATCCACGAGTGTGACGGACAATGAGAACGGACTGTATTGCTCACAGGAATGTGACCCAGAGCGAGCCGATGCAATACGTTCGGAACAGAAATATCCGAAGACCATCAAGAGTGCCTGGTGTACCTGAACAATCGAATGGGCTAATCAAAGCTTGGTACTCTAAATTAGTTTAGTATTGTTTGTTTTATTCGGGTACCAAACAGCAAACAAGAGCTGGCTGGAAACAGGAAATCAAGCCTGGTAGTTGAATGAAAAGCCCTTCGGCGATTCTGTTTGGTTTAACTGGCATCTGTGTATGTCCGTTTTACCTTCACTCGCATCTGAGGGATGGCAACGGAAACCATGGCAACCTTGGAATACTACCGTAAATAGTAATGTTTAACTAATTACCGGATTATCTTTCTTCGCGAAAATACTAAGGACTTGGCGGACAGCGGAGTCCGCAAGATTACCGACGAAATTAACGGAGTGTGATATTTTTCGGGTATCAATTTAATTAGGCTGTAGTAGCAAAAGTAGTAGTAGTAGTAGTAGTAATTAATATGCCTTTGTGAACACATCCAGCATTCCATTGGCTCCCAAATGAGCGAATCTGCGATGACAGAAGCTTGAGTGACACAATTTGCTGAGCGAGGTTTCGGCATACGAATCAAATGACATCCATTCATCAACACAAGAAAACATATGTAGACGCATCCAAAGCGTTTCGAGTCCTTGTGAGGCCTCGAAGTTCACGAACTTTGCGATTCTTAGAAGCGATAAATATTCATCGCTTAAAACCGTAATCATGTGTTCAAAAAAACATTTGTGACGCAACTGTTGTTGCCGTGGTAGTGATGCTGTCACACTTGATACCACCCTATTCATAGCATGATGTGACATGACCTTCCCTTGCCCTCCCTAGTTCACCACATTCACCACATCATTCGACCCAGTTCACCTCCATATCAAATTTTGTCATCTAACTTGACCTCAACTCCTAACCAAACACAAATCATGCAACTCACTTGTCCACCACCTTGTTCAAATGACTCATTTCAACTCCTATGTTTCTTCGTTTTACATGATCATATAAATGTGCGTTTACAGCTGAATGAGAGCACGCGAAATTGATGGTCAATGCGAATTCTGCCCACATATGCCTTCTTGTGTTGATGAGACACAAAAATAAATGTTAAATCCTGCCACCGGAATGAGTAGCATGGTTGTGCCACGGTAAGCTCAACTGGTTCGGTTCCCATATCTGACCCTCGCTACTGTGAATCGGACTCAGATGTCAGACACGGGTGCTCATATATATCGGACATTTCCAGTAATAATCGCATCTCGATTGGCACTGAAACCGAAATATGAGTAGGCAATGGCAACAAGCTTTTGAGATCATATTAGACTAGAACAAAATAGGTTGTTAAATATGTTTGAAAGAGAGAGAGAGAAAAAACAAACTCTAATCAGATCAGTTACCGAAGAGGAACAACGCACTTACCACGTGGTTCACTCGAACAAGCACCATCTCTCGACAAGGTGGCAGCAGTCAGAATTGCTCTACGTGAATCCTTGTAAGTTGAGGACGTAGTGGTGCTGCCTGCCAGGGCAGACATGATACTCTGGTCCGGTTCGTACGGAACATGGTAGAATTCGGCTATATTGACCTGGTGGGAATCGATAAAAAGTGGGATCGATTATACTTTTTGAATAGGAGTCTAATAAACGTGATCATGAGGCGAAGTTGTCCACGCATGAATGTGGTTTACCGTATCAATCAGGGTACTTGCATTATTTTGTTTACTGCGATCTGAGTGAAGGTTAAGCTGTAAACCCTCCAGGAAAGGTTGGATGTAATGCAATTAGTATGCATGAGACAAACAGCGTACTAGCACACTGGGGCGAACGAAGGCAGATATTTGGACCACAGCTTCAATTCACGTCCATGAAAATACTAGTGCTTAGAGATGTTGCAATGAGCCATATGAGAATGTTAGTTTCAAGGACCCTGATTCGAGCCTCCGACAGTTGAGGTTCAAAAGACCTGCTCTAACTGTGACTGAAAACAGAAGGCGAAATCATTCGATTCAACTTATTATGGCGTCGGTGTACTTCCCGTATTGAACCGAGAAAACATCGAACCTGACTTATTGTGCGGTTGTATAATCCGGCAGACCAAAAGTCCCGAAACCTGGATCGAAAGCATATCCGGGGACGTGACTTTATGTATCAGGTTCTTCTCAGAATGTGCCTTGAATTGACCAGGGTCATTGCCTTGTGGTTAAATTTTTTTACCTGAAGGTGTCATTTAATACAGAACAAGGTGGCGCAGAATTGCACAATTTATTTCGAGAACAATTTTCCTGTATCTCTTTAGGTACATACTACAGTCGAAAAATATGATTAACTGACAGGTCACAGTTGCCATGGCTGATGTAAAAATTTGTCCATTTTTCTACCAAAGCAGGACTAGAATTACAAATAATTCCTGATTGCACAGTTCAGGAGTAAACATGAGTGGTGTGAAGAAAAACATTTTTGAATACAACTGTCACGTTCACTTGATGTATAGCCTAACATGTGACGAACGATCGATGACGCTGGTGTGCGGCATTAGCTTGACCTTCGACCTTGATCATTTGGGTATGATTCGGTCACCATTTTATTAACAGACAGGGATGTATTCGGCTACTCTTCGTCTAAGCCGCCAGTCGGTTCTGCTTGGGAAGGTGGCCGAGCATCCACAAAGGAATCGGTGCCCTTGAGAGGATTCGGCATATTGCGAAAGCGGTTGCCTGACTGGAGTAGCCGGTATTCTGTCGCGGTGGTGGCCCGGTGGTAACGTCACCGAATTATCACCACGGAGGACGTGTGTTCGAATCCCACCACCATCGCCTGACTTTCCCCATTTGGGTGTTGAATGACAGCCCTTTAATTGGCCACTTCCCCCTTCCCGAAAATTGTATCTTTGTGTATTCAATAAAAGGAAAAAAGAAAAGAATGTAGACGAAAACTGATGTGACTGTATCGAATGTTCGTTTGATGGACGAGTTTAGACGGTGCTCCAACAAATTGCTCACGTCATCACTCGAACGGTAG